TCTTTTGGAAATAAAGAAATATAAAACTATATTAATAATCTCTTTTATCAAAGGGCTGTTATAAAACAGCCAACAACTAATCAGTCTATATAATATATCTATTAATAATAGCTTCTACTTTTTGTAAAATTACTCCTCTTTTGTCAATTAATTGTTGAGGGAAATTAGGATTTGTATCTCTCTTGAGAATATTAAACAGAGGCTTAAATTCTTTTGTGGAGAGCTTAAAATAAGATCTTAGCCAATTAGCATCTCCTAGAAACTTTTGAAAATAATTTAAAATAAGTAAACTATCTTTTTTATTTAGATTTTTTTGTGTCACAATTTATTTAGAAATATAGCTGATGTCTCAAATATTGAAAAGATATTGTCTTTGAATGTTTTCTGGAGCAACAATCACTCTCTAAAATTTTAAAGCTCATTATATGAGAGCAAAGGCTTGTTTTAAAACTCCTTTAGAAGGAACAACTAATGAGCCAATTATGTAACAAAAGAAAGTGTTCACCTGGGCCTTGTTTGATCCCAGATAAAACTCTTACTGAGGTCTCTTTTATACATCTGGTTTTTGAATGACTCTAACTCCGAATTACCAGTTTTAATCCAGCTTTCTTTTACCAGAATTATAAATTTTTAATCATTCCCAATAACTTATAGGCTAATAATGTATAACCAAAACATATAGAACATATTTATATTTTTAAAACTAGTCAAGAACAAAATAAGTGTACTTCTTATAGATTTTATCCAAACAAATTTTTCTTACCTTTTTTAGTAATTTTAAGAGAAAAGCACCCTTTCACTTTGTCAAAACAGAAAAATCACTATTAATTCCTTTATTGTAGAAGCCAAAAAACTGTTGGCCCCCTTCCAAGAGCCACATTTGAAAACAATTAATTCTTGCCAAGGCTCTTTCTGTGGTATCTTACTTCCAGCCACAGAGCAGGGTAATTTGTCAGCTGCTGTTGTATAAATTGAAACTGTTTCTTCCAAGCAAGTTTTAACTAAATTGAGGGGTGGATAGCAAGCAGTTTTTAACCATTTTTTTGAACATGAAGCATAGAACAACAATTATTCAAACACTGAGACAAAGACAGACAATTGACACACATGGACAGATTGGCACGCCAAGGACACACAATAGACAGGGAAAGCAGAATTGAGAATCTCTCCAGTAGGAACAGTAGGAATTCTATCTTGTTCCCAGGAGGGCTCTGAAACAGCCTTTTTCTTTTCTTTTGCTAACACGGCGGGAGAGCAGACAATTGTTTTAGCCCATTCTCTCTCTCATTTTCAAGGTTTAACTTTTTATCTCCTCCTTAGGAGGAACAGAATTTTTTTTTTTATTTATTTATTTGTTTTATCAATAGTCCCCTTTTGGGAAAACAACACTAATGAAAGCAAAGAATTTTTTTTTGTTTTGTTTTGAAAGCAAAGAATTTTTAAAGATTCTTTTTCTTAACCCTAGTTCCTTGCATCCTGAGTGACTCCACTTCTTGAGTCCATCACTAATAGTGATTGTTTAGAAAATGCCTGTCACAGTGCCTTTTACCTTAAGGCCTCACTGCTCTGATCGTCCACAGGATCATCTCATGGGCGGGTGGACTGTGGTGTCCTTCCAAGTCAAAGTGCTCTCAAGTACTCCAGGAGTCATCTCTCTTGGGTGCCCCTGAAAAATGCAGAGTTGCTCACAGCACCTCTGGGAACCACTCTAAAAAGTGCTCCATGATCAGAGTGCCCTCAGGCACTCTGGGCAGTCACCCTCAATGCTCCTGAAAAACTGGTAGGCCTACCTTCCTCTGAAAAGCTGGTATTCTCTTCTCTGTGATCTCCTGGAGCCCCAGAATGTTGGGCACCAGACTGCCCCATCCAGCAGGGCAGTGAATAGGGTCCAGGGGACCACCTGAAAGAGAGAATGGGGGAACAGGAGAATGCAAAGCACCACTGCTTGTCTATAGTCTGATCAAACCACTATTTTAATTTTTTCACTCAGGGGTTATATACACATAGAGGCAGGATGTGGGGAAGGGGATGATGCAGGAGTGTAGGTGTTCTCAGGGGGAGTACAGATATTTTTCAGAACAGAGTTTTGGCTGGGTGAAGAAGCAGGGAATAGGTCACAATGACTCTGTCTAGATTCATTTGTTTTTATCTAAGCTGGTACCCTCCACCAAGGCTACCTATCCACAAGACCTATGACTACTTGTTCTTATCCAGGCTGGTAGTTTTCCACCAAGCCTGCCTGTCTACAAGATCTATAGCTATCTGTTCTAGGGCCAGTGTTTTCTCACAGAGACCAAGAGTTTGTGTTAGCAGGCATGTATGGCTGACTCAGGCCTATGGCTGATTTAAGCCTTCAGTGTATAAGCAAGGCTGCTCCTGACAATATATCAACATGCTTTCTAAATAACTTGGTTGGAACATCATGGTGGGTGGGTTATGGTCCCTCTGTGTATCCTCAGGCATCTCTGATGACATCCTTAGTTTTGGGGTTGGTGGAAGCTAGGGATTTGTTCATACATCCCCAAAAGACTTATCTACTAGTCACAAAGATGTTAGATCAAACATAGAGCTAACAATAAATGGCTATCAAAGGAGGCTAAAGCTAGCACTTGATAATTGGTAATTAAGTTCTAGACCTATAGTTTTCCAGCCTCCCCACTGTTATGGTCTGACACACATCCCCAGAATAGCTGTAGCCATTTTGTTCCATGCCTGCCAGCTATTTCATATTGTTGCTGTAACATGCCTGCTAGTCACTGACACAGAGAAGTGACTTGGCTCAAGGGCATGCTGACCACATACCCTGTTTTGTTCTGTATGTTCTGAATGTTCTGTATGAGGTTCGCTAATCTTAAAAAATTCCACAAAGCTTTACATAGAACCCATCAAGTCAAATGTCAATATGAACTGTTATGTCTAAAATATTTTGAATCATAGCTGACCACCAGGCAGCCTTTCCTACACCTATGTATGAGCTCACTGTGGTTCATGTGGCTGACACTGAACAATGCTACTAACAAGCCAAAAAGTTATGATTATAATACTCATGCCCTGTTATCTCAATGTTATGAAATTCTTCTGCTCACCATCCATCCACCAAACCCCCTTACCTTACTTAGGACCAATCGGTTTAAAGGTTAGCTGACAATACTTTGCCTAGTAAGCCAACTGCTCCCCTCCTTGCCCTCTAAACCCTTGAACCTGGTTGTTCCTATAAAAAGCCTACCCTGAGAGCAGACTGTACTGCAATTAGGATCCCGAGTCCTTTTTGTGATATTGGATGTCCAGTATTATGGTGAGCATTCAATAAGTTATTCTTGCTTAACTGAGATTTATGAATGCATGGTTAGCAGGGCAATTTCCTGAACCTCAACACCCACGATCATTAAAGTTCTACTTAGTTGGTCAGCCTTTGATGGATGTTTGACGTACAGTGCAGCTTCTTTCTGGGAGCCTCCATTCTCACTCTCCTCATAAAACAGACATCCAGTCATCCCCAAGAGTCCCCAGAGCCTTTAGCAGTTCTTCTACTGCTCAAATGTCCAAGTTAAAAATCTGAGACCCCAGCCAAACTTCATTGCAAATCTAAATTACAATGGTCCAGGATATACATTCCCATTCAGGACTCTGGTACCAAAAAGGGAAGGATCAAAGGTGAAGGTAAAACCCCAGCAGAGAAAACATGAAGTCTTCCAACTTCATGGCCAGCATACAGAGCACAGCGATGTGAGCTCCAATAGCCTTGCCAACCTGGTGGCTACTCCCTCAGCCCTGCTTTGTCCACTGGTTGCATCTTCTTGGGCAGGCATTCCACATTCAGGCTATAACATTTTCCTCTGCAGACTTTGGGTTCACTCAGTGCAACTTCATGAGTTGTCCTCCCGGGGTAGGGTGGGGGTGGGTGGGTGACACTTGCAGGACTCCTACACTTCCACACATGCCTGCTCTAGGTTTTCCTTCTGAAATCTCAATGGAAGCTCCTGCTGAGGTCATTCTCTGCTGCATGATGAGTTCAAGGGCAGCCTCATCTATAAATACCTTGTCTCAAAGCAAGGTGGGGTGGGCAGGGAACAGCCTGGAGAGACGGCTCAGCTATTAAGAGCTCTTGCTTTGGATCCCAGGCGAGGATTGTATATTTGCCTATAACCCTAACTCTAAGGAGGGGTGGGGTGATGGGGATTGCTGGGCCTTGCTGAATCCTAGCTTAGACATACGAACACAAACCCTGGATTCAGAAAGACTCTCAAAGGAATAGGTAGTGAGGGACAGAGGACATTTGACTTCTCCTAGCTTTCATGTTGTGTACAAGCGTAAAGCCCAACATACACATGTGCATATATTTACACACATATACAAATAAATTGAGAAATCTTTTTAAAAATTGGGAGAAGAAACTCCAAGTATATTCAGTGAACCTATATTGGGTATAAATGAGAGGTGCAGAACAATACAAAGTGGGCAAAGGCCAAGCTAGAATGTTCACTAAGTAAAGACCTTGATACTTACTGGAAGGCTGGTTTTAAGAACAGAAACAGTATGGCTTTGGTGGAATAGCATCATTCAGGAAAGGGAGGAAGGTTGTTGGTTCATTCTGAAGATGTTTTAAATGGTTGCTTTCCTCCTGTGTACTCGAGTGTACTACTTACATTGGGATACAAAATGCCCTTAATGACTTTCACTTCAAGAAAATAAGCTCAGGTAGACAATGAGGAGTAGTGTGTTGTATAAATACTAATTCAGAAAGAGACTATAGAAAACAGATAAGGCTCATGAGGTGGCTCAGTGAGTGGAGGCCCTTGCTGTGTAAACCTGAAAAAAAAGTCTGAGCTTGATTCTGGGAACCCGTGTAAAGGTGGAAGGAGAGAATGGACATCACAGGGTAGTCCCCTGACCTCCACAGGTGCAGTGTGGCATGCATACCCCTCCCCCCACCACATAATGCACACACATAATAACAGATAAAAATTAAAAATATATATATATCAGATTCTACACTCGACTAGTAGTTAAAAATAATTTTTATTTTGACTTACATGATTGAAAGAGGGATGAATACAAATACCACAAACCTAAAAGCACTCCCCAACTGAAAGCAAAACACAGAGGTGAATACAAAAGATATGAAATTAATTATCCATGCAATAGTCAAAAATGTTTCAAATCCACAAATAAACCAAACAAAAGCCCTGTGATAGCTGTGATTTCACTTTCTACAAAAGAGATATTTCATCCATTTAACAAAGACTCTGGCCTATACATACTATAACTGTACAACATACCTTTAAAATGAAGACTATATGCATATATATAATATTTACAAATATACAATTATGTACAGTGGAGTGTCACAGTTGAGAGGATGTGTTGCCAGAAGCCTGGCAAGCAATTTTCACTTTAAAATGAAAGGAAACTTTTTAAAAGTCTTGCTAAAATGTTAAGTATTGAAACTAATACCTAATTGGTTACAAATACATCCAGAATACAGTTCAAATTGCACTCACACGTATTGTTGTAATGCCTTGGCGTCCCCATCCCTTGCACACTTTCTAAGAGACTGACTCTCTACCCTGGGACTGAGTTGCTGTGGAAACTACGGGGCAGCATCCTTCTGTTTATCTCTTAAATCACATGGATAAACCATATGGACAGTCTCAGGATGGAAATAGAAACGAATAGTAGGAACTATAAAATACTATGATATAAAACTTAGGTTCTACTCCCCTCCCCCATAGCCTCATGTATCCCAGGTCGCCCTGGGAACTCCCTAGGTTGCTGAAGCTGACCTTGAACTTCTGATCCGACTTCCTTCTGCTTCTGAGCACTGAGTTTATAAGGGCAGTAAACCCAGTTTGTGCAGTGCTGGAGATGAACCCAAGCTTGGTTAGCGTTAGGCAAGCACTCTACCACGGGAGCCATCACATCCTCAGCTCCAAAACCTATTGTCTTACAATTGATCATTTTGCCAGGTTCTGTAAGAAAACTTTTATTTGCAGTTCGTTCTTTTTGTGCTTTGTCTTTAAAATAAAATTTGGTAACTAAGGGGCCACTCAACCCTGAGAACACAGCAGAAAGATGGCAAGGCATACAACACATATCCAAATAGCACATGAAGAGGTCAAGCTTACAGATGAATTTCCAAACAGGCATAAAGTTGGCTATTTTCAAATTCTACAGTAAGATAAGATGGACTTTGAAGTGCTGTCAGTCCCAACTGCAATGGAGTCCAGTGAATTATACACAGCCCTGTTCTGTGGGCTAAGGAAAAGTAGACAGTCCAGTGCAATTGGATTTTCAGATCTCCATATTGGCAGCAGCAGCAGCTCTCTGCTGTCTGGACACATCAGAGCACCCTCTTGAGGACAAGGGCCAGGTATCATCGGGATAGCAGTCAGGTAGCATGAAATTTAAAAGGCTGTGGCAACTTCGGTTCCATGACGACCTCCCACTTTAACGCAATCTCGAGGGAATTTGTCTAATTGTTCGTATGCCAGTCGCCCGTCTTCTCCTGGATAGGGAACATTAAACATGAATACATCTCATATGCATCACACAGAATAATATGGTGGAGCTGTGTTATGGTGACTTTTTTCACAGTTCCTGGGAATTGAACCCAGGCTGTCATATATATTAGACCAAACACTTCCCCACTGAGCTACCCCTTCAGCCTCATCTTAGCTAGTTACTATGTTAAGGAAAAGTGATTTTCTATTATGCTTAATTAGATTATGGGTTTGTAGGCAATGTTTAGAATAACCAAGAACCTTTGAGTTAACATTAGAGACCAGATGTAAGGCAAGGCACAAAATAAAGTGCAAGTCTGCTACCAATTGCACATGGCAGATTAATTTTTATTTAGTGTCTTAAGGACTTCAGTAAGGCTTATCCTTGACCTCAGTGTGTGGAATCTCTATGTAACTTGAATACATTCTATATTGGTTTAGTTACATGATCTCATATACACACATCATCATACATGATACATTATATCATTATGCACATCTATGTGACTAATGGTAAAAGTTAATTTCTACTAATGGTAAAAGTTAGGCTTTCAAGCTTTGGCTAATAGTTAGTCTTTACCCCCTAAACACACAATGATCTTCCAGGCAATGGATTATTCAGTCTTGTTTATAGTCACCTCTTTTGTTTATTTACTTATTGTACATGTGAGTGCATGTGTGCATGTAAGTACATGTGTGTATGTGTGCCATTGCATGCATGTGGAGGTCAGGGACAACATGCTGGCATCAGGTCTCTCCTTCCACACTGAGGCAGGGTTCCTCCAAGCACAGGCTAAGCACCTGTAACCCCCAAATCCCAAGTCCAAAATGCTTGAGCATTCAAATCCGTGAGCACTTTTAAGACTCCACAAGTGAGAGCCTTTACTTCCCTTGTTCTGAAGCTCTTCCCCAATAGCATGGCTGTAGCCATTTTGTCCCCTGTCCACCAACTACTTCAAATTGTTACTGTAATATCGCTGCCAGTCATTGACACAGAAAAGTCACTTGACTCAGAACAGGATCATGTTGACCACATCCCCTGTTATGTTCTGTAGGCCATGAGGTTTGTTAATCTTAAGAAATTCCACAGTGATAATCTTCATATAGGACCCATCAAATTAAAGACCAGTATGAACTGTTATGTCTAAAATAGCTTGAGTCTGGGCCAACCACTTCCAGTGCCTGTGTATGTGCTCACTGTGGTTTTCACATAAGCTGGCCCTGAGACATGTCCAGTGATCATCTTTGAGCTCCAGAGCCTTAGCTGTTGGCCTGATGGATCAGTCCTTAGATGTGTGTTCAATAAGCCATCCCTGTCTAACTGAGACCAGTGTTTGTGTGGTAACTCCTGGACCCCAATAGCTTGGAAATGATAGGCTGTAGTTAAGTGTATATAAATGTAAAATGTTACATGAAAATGCCTTCAAGGTAGGAATAAACACTTATGTGTAACACATAATTTTTATCTTTAAACTTGAGTTTTATGTCTAAGATATCTCATGTATATATGAATATTCCAAACCTTAAAAAAAAAAGCAACACAATCTGAAGTTCTTTTGATGGAACTCATTTGGGATGAGGGATACTCAGCCTTTACTGTAACAGCAACACAACCAGAGCTGTCCCCCAGGACATCTTGCTAGCTCTTCTGCCATAGCCAAGGCTATGGGTGAAGATGTTTGCCACCAAGCTTGATGACTTGAGTTCAATTCCTTGGATTTATATACTTGAAGGACCTTCTCATAGATGTCCTGGCAGGCACACCCCCAACACATACAGACTCTCATATATATATATATATATATATATATATATATATATATATATAAAATTAATATTTAAAAAATGGAAATAGAATTAATAAAGTAAAAATTTGGAGGCAATAGGGTGCTGGGATCAAAGATAGGACCCTGCCTATGGTGACAGGTGCTCCACTACTGAGATATGTCTGCCAGCCAAAAGTTGGCATTTGACTTTCTCACTGAGCTGAGCAAGCGCTAGGTGCTGCTATTAGGTGTTCTATTGGATGGTAGATATTAAGGGCACTCCCACTGCACAGAGGATCTCTCAGACATCAAAGGTTATAAGGTTGAAGCAAACATGCACTAGTTGGTGAGGAGCTGCTGCTTGACTCAGTGCTTGTCACGGACTCCAGCCCTTTGTCATAGGGTGTCCTATCTGTTGCCATTGAGAATACTCGAGTGCATGAATTCAGGCTTCTGTGGAAAAAGTGTATCAGTATTCCTGCATCAGGGTGAAGAAAGAGTCACAACATTGATTTGGGGGTGGGGAGAGTCTTCCAACTCTACTACATATTAGAAGGTTTTAAAATCCCCATGCAGGGGTGCCCTGGAGACCTCAGGGAGCAGCCTCATTGGGTGGAGCAGAGGCACAGGGACATTAGACTTCCCTGGAGACTTGGACATGCAGCATGTGGAGAAGCCTGAAGAGGGCGGGGAGGCCTGGGTGGTGTGAGCATTGTAGAAAGGTTGGTGGTGAAGCAGATGTGCTGGTCATTCCTGGAGTGCAACTTGGAGCAGCTAAGTGAGTTTGGGGCTGTAGCGCACGGGGTACCCTTCCTCAGTTTACCATGGAAAGAGAGATGCTGGCTTTATACACATCTAGCTATTGTTTATTGTTTTTAAATCTTCACTGTTATTTCAGAACCTGGAGGGATAAAAGACTTTATGCCACTAATACCCTGGGTACATTTTAGAGAACAAAATAACTTCTATATCTAAAACAGTCATAGAGAATAACTATTTTATCCTTTAAACAAATATGGGCTGGCTAAGCTTCCTCTACAAATAATGGTGTATTCAACAGCAGCACCAAGTCTTATTAATTCCATACCAGTAAGAGAGAAGGGTTCTAAATAAATGGGATTTTCAAGGTGGTTATAATAACCATAAATCTTCTTCACATGGTTAAGATGTATTGTCAAACTAGAGCGGCTTTTTTCCCTGGTGACATTGGCAGGGTTAGGTTTAAAGACTTTTAGAGGAAACTTCTTGAATTTAGAGCATATGACTATAGTAATGTTTGCTATAACTTTCTCCTCCCTTCCTCTTCTTCTCTCTTTTCCTCTTCTTCCCTCCCTTGCCATTCCTCTCTCTATGTGTATATGTGAGGATAGGGACTTTGTAGCCCACATTGGCTTGAAACACAATATGTAGCCCAGGCTAGCCCTGAACTTGTGGCAAGCCTCCTGTCTCTATATATGCTTGGATTACAGGTGTGAGCTACTGGCAACAATTGTCTATTTGATGGAGAGTTAAGAGAGGTTATCCTGATGCCTGGGAATGGGGCTTGGTTGATGGCATACTGGCCTAACATGCACAAAATCCTGGATTTGATCATTACCACTAAATAAATCAGAGGCGGTGTTACACACTTATAAGGCTGGCTCTTGGGGAGTGGAGGCAGGAGGATCAGAAGTTCAAGCCTATTTTTTTAGGGTACATAGTGAGTTCAAGGCTAATCAGTGATACATGAGACCCTGCCTTTAAAAAAAGGAAAAAGGAAAGCAAGTCTTTGATATCCTCATCCCCAAAGTCTATCCAGAAGGAACACAACAACTAAAGACTTGAACCTTCACAAAGTGAAGGGGAGGGTTATCTGGATATTCCAGAATGAAATGATAGCAGGCAACAAGAGGTGACAGTGAGGCCGAGGCACTCAGGGTACACAGCAGTCACTGCAGAGATCAGATGCATTGACTTTGCTGTACCATCTCCACACTGGCAGCCATGCTGGGCTCTTTACGCTCGTCTTTGTCTTCTGTGCTCCAGGTCCTAACACTTTTGCTTTCATGAACTGGTCTCACTGTGCAGCTTAGACTGAACTTGAACTTGAGGTGATTCTCCTGCCTCCTTGTCTTCAGTGCTGGGATTACAGATATAGGATTTATGAAGCCTTGGAGATAACGAGGGTGAAAGGCCCCCTACCTATTCATGTGCAGAGAGAACAATTGGACACGATTGATTTCTCCTATTCTAGGAACAGGGAGTACACAGGCAAGGAAGAAACGATTAAAGCAGAAGACACAAACCTTCCCTTAGGTTCCCAGGAGAATATCAGAAGAAAATGAACACACAAAACCAAACTCACCAAGAGACAGGAGGGTTTCCGAGGCCACGGTTCTGATTTCTTCGGTGTCAGACTGACACAATGTCACTAGCATTTTAATGCTTTCGGTGGCCTGCCAAGGAAAATAGATCAGTGCCTGACACTTAGACCTTCAGTCTTCTAGGAGACTAAGCAGCTAATTCTTAAAGCTCTATCCCATTGATTCCAAAATAACCCTCACTTTAGGACTCATGTGCTTGCATTTAAGCAACATGTATGGAATGTTTTTCAAGCTGAGGGTAGGATGGGGGAGAAATTGGTTCTCAAAGAGGGCTTCTATTTCCAGAAGGGACTGTATCTTTTGGAAGAAAAGGAATAGAGTAGGGTCAAGGTGCTCTCAGCTGGAGATATGCTGGGGTTAAAACCAGGGTTCCTGTCTCATCCTTCACAGTACCTAAGTCTATTAGAACCCAGATAGGCTGCTGCATGCTGTGTGTCTATCTGTGTGAAGTCTGTAGCAGAGACACTGAGACACTCAGCAGCAATGAGTCACAACATACCAGGAAAGTGCCCAAATAAAATACTTAACCAATGGGAACTTTCTTTTTTTTTTTTTTTTTTTTGCAGGGGTGGGTGGTGGTAGTGTCACTGGTAGATACTTTTTTGACCAAGTAACAAGGAAGGCAAAATTTCCCAGGGTTGTTTTCCTTCACAGATCATTAGCTTTTTCTTTTACGACACCAGTCCCTTGTTTTCAAGTCCTCTCAAGCCCTGCTCCTTGCCCCATGTGCCCTTCGAAGGCTTTAGTAAGCACTAGGGGTGGCTCTCTCATTATTCATCCTGGCACCTCTCCTAGTGTTTCTGTGGTAAAGACGAGTCACACATGAGATCTCGTGAAAAGCCACACTTCCGTTGGAGATCTGTAGCCTTTGCTTCCTTGTGTTTGCAGGTAGCTCTCTCCCTGCTCCTCTAGCACAGTGACCATTGCATAGCAACCAGGTGAATCCACTGTGGAGTCTGAGTGTGGCTGAGGCTATCAGTGTAGCCTAAATCATACAGAATCATGAACTTAAAACAGTACGATTGTTTTTTTTTTTTTTTTTTTTGTAACGTCATTGTGAGCTTTGAGGATGATGACTCATGTCATGATGTCAAAGGCTGGACACACCTGCAAACTAATTCCAAGAGAAAGGATCTGGAACTCAGTGACACACTGAGTTAGATACTTCAGGGCAGGCTTTATTTTTCTATGCTAATTTATACACAGTACACATGGGAAACATCACTGTATCATCTCTTTCTGAGGTAAGATACTTTCCTAAAATTGACCTAAAGTCACACTGGTTATGTGAGCAATGCTAAACATTAATTATTCCCTACTTGGTGGATTTAACAAAGTCATATGTAGTCCATGTTCAAGGGGGAAAGGCCCCCTGACTGTGTGGCTCCAGGGAGAAGAAACACTGCTACACTACAACAGAATATGAATATGGCTTTGAATACGGAAAACACTGGATATGTCCACATAGCATGGCCTCTAACCTTAACAGACATGTGCTGCTTTAGGATTGACCAGGGATGGGGGCTCTGAGTCTGGACAGGGGTGAGGGACTTTGAGTCTGGTCAGGTGTGGGATTGTAGGGGTTTGGGGCTGGGCTTTACCTCCAGGCTTTTTAGGGCCAGGCATGCTGCCTTCTGTAGCTGGAGATTGGTCTTTGTCAGTGCTTCACAGTAATAGAGCAAGGCCTGAAGGGGAAGGAGAGATGTTGTAAGACATCTTGAACTGTTTGTCACTAATACAGTATGTAAGAACAAAGGAGGGTAATTGGTATAGGGAGTTATGGAATATCTTCTTCCATATGTGATATATAAATTTTTAATTAAAAAAAACCCTTTTGTTTTATTTTATGGGCATAGTGTTCTGCCTGTGTATATGTCTGTGCATTATGTACATGCAGAGAAAGAAGATTGCTGCAAATTTGAGGACAACCTAATCTGCATGGCGAGTTCCAAGCCAGCATGGTCTCTATCAGAAGTTCCAAGCCAGGCAGGGTTATACAGTGGGAGATGTCCCAGAAGAACACTGGTTGCTCTTCCAGGAAACCCAGGTTTGGTTCTCACCACCAACATAACAGTTAACAATCATCTGTAACTTCAGTCTCAAGGAAGCTAATGTCCCCCACCCAAGGACCAGGAAATGCCATGACAAGGCAGGCAGAAAAGAATGTAAGCGTTGGGAGTTAGGGAGAAGGCTATCTTCAGGGCATCACCCAGCTATTGCAAACATGATCTTGCAGCAGCTGGGTGGTAGGCCTGCACAAGACTGGGCCTGCCAGGTTTAGATCAGGGAGGGGCTCATGGGAGATTATAGCTCCTGACTATTGGTTACTGATGGATTCTGGGGAGAGTTATTATCTTCAACTGTATTCTGCATGCTGTATTCATCCAGTAGGTTGCAGTTCCAACCTGATGGACACATATACAACCGTGGTTAAACTCAACGGGTCAAAGAAAAAAACCGTGGAGGAAGTGACCAGTGGGTGGAGGTGGATATGACAGAGGTGGGAGGAGACAAGAGAAAGCGGAGGCAAGTATGCACTGCACATGTGCACTAAATTACCAAAGAACAAATTTAGCAATAAAAGTAACAAAAGTTACCCCTGAGGTAAACTGTAGCATGGCCTTTCACACAATTTTCAGGGCAGGAAAAAAAAATCACAAAACTTCACAAGTTTATTCAAAGAGTTAATTGGTGTATTTTACTAGATTGTAGACGCAGACTTGGAAGATATAAAGTTATGATTATAGAATTTATTTTAATGATCAATTTTCTCCTTTGCTAGATTTTATTTTAAAAACCACACTACTTTTGCTTTTTCTTTTCTTTTTTTTTTTTTTTTTTAGGTTTTTCGAGACAGGGTTTCTCTGTGTCCTGAACTCACTCTGTAGACCAGGCTGGCCTCAAACTCAGAAATCCGCCTGCCTCTGCCTCCCGAGTGCTGGGATTAAAGGTGTGCACCACCACAGCCCGGCACTACTTTTGCTTTTTTTTTTTTTTAATTACTTTTGCTTTTAATGGACAGAGTTATGTCGATTTTTGGGATACAATAACTGAAGACAAGGTACACGCCTACATCTCCCCCTAGCGTTCCGGCTCCTCACACGCTCATCATATCTGTGGGTTGGAAAGCTTTGAATTCTTCCTTTCTAGTCACTTTGAAATATACTTTAAACAATTATGTGATGCTGGTAACCCCACCCCAGTAATGTAGTTTGGTAGCTCAATTCTAAGTCCACCTTGAATTCTCAGCAATCCTCCTGTCTTACTCAGGATTAGAGCCCAGCTGCATACTAATGGTAAATGACAGGCAGTTAAGCCTTGATATCCAGTTTAGCATCCTACCTTTTCTCTGAAGTGCTCATTTTTGGAAGCTGCTGCCAAGTAGAGTGTCACAGCCTCGCTGACCTCATTGTCATCCTTGGTGAGCAGCAGAGCCAGCGTCCTGAGGACCTCTTGTTGAGCAGGGAGGTTACTGGGTGGAAGGTCACTCATAGTCTGCAGCAGTTTCTCATCTCTCAGCGACTGCAGAGTTTGAACCATGGCAACTGGAAGGTGAGGAGCCATATGTCACAGTCTGATAGCACAGTGTCGCGTTCATTGAGAACACAAGTATTTCATGTATGTTTTCAGTAAAAGCATATCCATCGCAGACCCAAGTGTATGTAAAAACTTAGTCTAGGATGAAGGCAGTATTTTAAATTAGTGTGAAAAAGTCAATAATTTAAAGAATTATAAGGATGGCAAATTGTAAGAAAAATGTAAAGTTGATTTTCTACTTTGAAATGGTGGCAAAAATAGTTAAAAAACAAAAAAACAAAAAAACTAAGATAGGATCTCATAATAGCCTAGGCGAGCCATGAACTTTCCATGAAGCAAAAGATGACCTGAAACTATTGATCCTGCTCCCCCTCGCTCGCGGTTATAGGCATTCACCATCGAGTGTCATACAAATGAATTAAACAGTCAAATGTAAATATACTATGAAGAAATATAAAGCAATATTACCTGCCATCTCATTAATATCATATAAACACAATTGTCTCTATGCCAAAATCCTAATCCTAGGTGAAGGGTCAGGCCTGGAGGGGGGATGTCAAGTAGTCGATTAGAATCTGGAGACAATATGATGAACTATGGGATTTTTGAGTTCCACTGGGACAAACTGACCATAGTCTGTGAGTAAGGAGAGGAGGCGTCTAATCCCTAACTAGATCTCTTGGTCTCTAAGATGAGATTGTGTCTATTCAGGGACACGGGAAGTAGACGGGAAAGGAAAAGGCCACAGCACCTCTCACAGCAGAGCCATGCCTGTCCCGTAGGGAATACAGGTGACAGTCATCGAGATATTTTTACTTTAATTTCCTGTTTTCTTTGCTGTGGATGTCTGTTGGCTCCACTGCTTTGTAAGTAAGTACACCAATAAAAATCCCCAAGGGAGTATTAAATAACAGTTAAACAAACAAATCACAGAAAAGATTTCATACTATAAAAACACAGGATTCAAATATAAGGACAATAAAAAACTAATAAAATGCTTTAGATAGTTAATATTTAACAACATGAAGCATATTAAGTTAAAAAACAGGATATAATCATAAGGCATAATCACACTGGGCACACTGGCTGTGAGTACAGTGTTGTCTACTATGGGAGATGCTGGGCTTAAGACCCTAGTAGTGCAAAAACAGACAGACAGACAGACAGACAGACAGACAAATAAACCAACTAATTCCAGCCTAAACAAGATACAGTTTTGAAATCTAAAACAATGCATGTTCAAATGAATAATTAAAAGTTTACAAATGGGGGAAAGAGATTTGAACTTATGTTTTTCTGTTTCCCAAACTTTTTGTAATGTAAAACTATCCATTTTATAATGAAACAAAGAAACAAAAAGACACTTAAAGATAAGGGAAGGGCTGGGGATGCAGCTCAGTTTGTAGAGTCCAGCACACACAAAGTAAGTGTGTTCAATCACCAACATCACATAAACTGGGCATGGCTGCATACACACGTGTAGTGGGAGTGTTTGCTGCACTGCTTTGAGCTCCCAGACCTGCCCAGGAGCTAGCTTGGATCCATGGATCAAAGAACCACACATATTAGCTTATTTTTAACCTATTTTATTGGCTCAGTCGTTGGGCTCTTCTAAGTCTCCATGGCTAGTGTGCCCTTTTCTTTACACATAGCTCAAAATCTCTAAATCTGTCCTCAGCTTAGTTGCCTGGTTACCGTAGTTACCTTTACTCCTAGCTCAACACCTCTAAATCTGTCCTCAGCTTAGTTGCCCGGTTACCTTCTGAAAAGATCATTTTTGGCTACATAGTAAGGTTGAGGCCAGTCTGGGCTACAGACCCTGTCTCAAAACAAAAACAAAACTGAGGAGCCAGAGAGATGACTCAGAACTTAAGAATACATACTGCTCTTGCATAGGACCAGAGTCTGGTTCCCAGCACCCAAGTGGAATGGCTTGTAACCCTTTCTAACACCAGCTCCTGGTGTCTGAGGGGACTACACTCACATGCACAAATCCACACTTAGATATACAGAAATATAATGTAAGATGAAAATAAAGGTTTAAACAAACCAAACCAAAGACAAGACTGAGAAAACAAACACAAAGGTTAAAAGGTATTTTTCCCACCGCCATTCCATACTCCTACTGCTGAGTGAGTAAGTTTTGTCAAGACTTATCACTAAGAAACTTAGGAACATGACCTGCCATACTAAACTCTGAAGAATTCAGATGTCTGCCTGGAGAGCTGATCCACACTCGGCAAGCTTAGTGTCACATGGATGCCATGAGGCTTTGCATCTGTAAGTCAGAGTCTCCCTGTCCTGGTCCTTCTGTGCCAGGCATGCCAGCTTCATGGCTTTCTCCAGAGCTCCTATGTCCCATGCTAGACAGAAATGTTACCCTCTTATGATGCCAAACAAAAACCATATTGCAGCAGGATTTAATGCTTGGGGAAGAACAGAGCAAACTTGGATCTGAGCCAGACAGGTTGCTGCTCTGTGGTACTATACCAGATGCCCTGGTTTCAGAAAGCACACCCCATCCCCTCTGTTCCTTCAGCTCCTGGCCAATACCTGCTGTATTCCTAAAGAATACTCAGATAATACACACACACACACACACACACACACACACACACACACACACACACACTGTTTGAAGGGCCGTGTTAAAAGGTGAACTGAGCTATACCCCAACAACCTCTGCCTTTCTTGACTGGGTAACTTCAGACTTTCTTTTCTCATTTCCCTTCCCGCAGTCTCACACCAGCCCTCATTTGAAGACCATTTCTGTCTATTCTGAATGAGAATTCTACCAAAAAATACAATATAAATAAAATAGCATTGCAAATAGACTGGAGAAAGGAAGGAAAGCAGTGAGATTTCTGTTCGCTTGCCAGTTTCCTGTTCATGGTGAGGACCAGTGTGCTTAGTGAGAACTTGCTCCAACACCAGGAAGTGTACTGAAGTTAAAAGCCCAAAAGTCATTGAAAAAGCAAGCCCCAGCTCAACCATGAAGGGCGACCTTCACTAACAATCCTGACAAGGAAGACCCAGGCTGACCCAGACTGAGACACTACTGTGACATGACAGGAGACCACAGCCTACCTTGCCTAGCTAGCTGGCCCAGGTAAGTCTCCAGGTCACTCACACCATGGCTGGTAAAGAAGTTGTCATACTGGAAGACAGTGATGACTTCCGAGGAGAGACTTGAGGAAAGGAGTGGTTCAGCTCGGTCCAGGATTTGGGACACCAGGGTTCTGAACACTGGGAAGGAAGAGACAAAGTAGCTTAAGAAACATGACCGTTCATTCACTCATTCATTAATTCATCCATTCATTCATTCATCCATTCATTCATCTTTTAGCATGCTATTTCATGATGAATGTGATAACCACAACACTGTGGAAACAGATGTGAATATCATAGAACTTATATATTCATTTGTTTATCACCATACTAATAATACTCACTTGCCTTTTATTATGGCACTTATATACATTCATACTTAAAATAGTACTTGTATTCATGCATTCATTAAACTATTCATTATTTATTCATTTTCATGTGTAGGGTGTCTCACCTGCATGTATGTATATCAATGTAACATGTGTGCATGATGCCCAAGAAGGTCATGAGAGGGAATTAGATCCCCTGGGACTGGAGTTACAGACAGTTGTGAGCTGTCATGTGAGTACTGGGAACCGAACTCTGGAAGAGCAGCCAGTGATTTTAACTGCTGAGGCATCACTGCAGCTCCTCATTCACCTTTTATTTTGGTACTTATACTCATTCATTCATTCATTCATTCACTCATCTTTGATCACATTTGTGATACATTCATTAATTCATTTTTATCACAGCAGTATAAGGCTTAAAGTGAGCTAACCTGTAGTGTGCAGCTAGATATTGTCACTGTTTGCCACACTTACATGATAGCATCCAAGTCAGGATGTGAAAGAAGACCAGCATCTTTCTAGGCATTCTTGAGGTCCTTCCTGTTAGTAGACACTCAGCCTCCCCAACAGTGAACAAATAACCTCAACTCCATTTTTGTGTTTGTTTTTGAGGCAGAGCATCATGTAGCCCAGGTGGATATCCAGTTGCCACGCATCCAAGGCTGGCCTTAGACTCCTGATTGACAGGTCTCCATCATCATGTCCCCCTTCATAACCCAAGCTTTATTTACATAAGCTAGCTTTTCCTGTTCTTGAACTTTCATGTCAACAGAATGCACAGTATGTGCTTCCCACGTCTGGTTTATTTTACACAACATAGTCTCTGTGGAGTTGCCCTTTTCCCATGGCGTTTCAATTGTCACTGAATTTTGTCTGTTGTGACTCAGGCTGTGAATCTTCTTATGCATGTCTTAGACAGACAGGAGTACACTTTTTCTTCATGTATTTAAGAGTAGAATTGCTGGCTCATGTTGTAGGCAGACTAGGATTCCATTCTTCAAAAGTCATTTGTACTGTCCGACATCCTCTCATTGGAGGCACGTTCAAGAAAAAGCCTACTGTTAGTCCTCTGTATCCATGGGTCCCCACATCTCTGAATCTAAGCAACCGTAGGCCAAGAGCCCAGGGAAAAGCACATCTATACTGAACATGTAGACTTCTAAATGCTGACACTCCCCAGGCAATGAAATGTAGCAAGCGTTTACTTGGTGTTTGCCTAGCCAAGCATTATAAGTCATCTGGGGTATAGAGGAGGAAGTGTGGAGGTTGTATATAAACCCATACTGGTGTAAGCAAGGGATGTAAGCAAACATAGATTCAGCCATGCATGGCAGGCTCCAGCACCAAGGGACAACTATACAAACATGCACAGCAATACAGACATGAAGTACTTGTAGACTGACTGGGAAATTTCTCTCACAGGCTCGGGTGTTACCTAGTCCTCAGCCAGTGGTCCTGTTTGGGAGGCTGTGGACACATGGGAACTTAGGGGTTAACTGTCTGACATAGACCATGGGGTGAGCAATTGGGGTTAAAACTTGGCTCACTTCTGTTTTCTATGAGTTATCGCTGATGTGACCAGCCCCATGCTCTGAGCGCCTTGTACCAACCTGCTTAAGTTGCCATGCCTTCCCTGCTAGGATGGACAGTACCTCCTGAAATGTGAACCAAAATCTACCTCTCTTAGAAGCGGTTTCTGTCAGGCAGTTTGTCACAGCTGAGTGTGTGTGGGGTTGATGAATATAGTACTTTAAAAGACATCATGGCTGGTGTTCTGCATGCTCAGCACCTTTTTGCATCTGGCTGGCTAGCCCACCTTTCCCCTGGAGAGCATGTACTTCTCTTTTTGTGTGCCTCCATCCCCCAGGCTGCAGGAAGAGACCCTCTCACAGCTGTTTGTACCTGGCTCTGCCAGTCCTGGATAGTCTTTGTTGATGCTTCTGGCGAAGCTGGCCTCCAGTTGCTTGATCAGGCAGGCGGCAGAGCTGTGGTAGACCCCCGTGGGGCTGCAGCACTTGGTCCAGAAGGACAGCAAGGACAGCCTTTTGTGGAATTCTGGTATGGCTGGAAGAGAAGAGGGATGTTAATGGAGAGAGGATGATGGTGATCTGGGTCGGGTGGCAAGGTGTCCCAGGGACATTATGGCTTTTCTTTTGTGTTTTTAAAAACCTGTCCTTTGTTTTAGTTTAAAAGATATATTCATTCATTCATTCATTCATTCATTCATTCATTATCTAAGACTAGGTCTCATGTAACCCAGTTTGTCCTCAAGAATAACCTTGAATTCCCAATCTTCTTGTCTATTCCCAGGTAACTTTTCTTTTTCTTGTGTGTGTGTGTGTGCGTGTGTGTTGTGTTACTGAGAATTGATCCTAGGATCTCATGCATGCTCTACCACTGAGTTATATCTCTAGCAATCTTTTTACTATTGATTTTGAAATGTCTTACCCAGGCTAACCTATATAGCACAGTCTAATCTAGAAGTGGTTATCCTTCTGTCTCAAGGTCCTGAGTAGATGAGATTAGATATATCCCCACAGCCACTAGAACTGTGGCTTTCTGTTGGAACTACTACAAGAGTCTGTGAATTAGTAGGTAGTCCAAAGAAAAACTGCCTCCTCCCTGTCAAGCAAAGAACACAGTGAATAGAAAGCATGGGTGTTCTGCCTTGGTGAGACCATACTTAACTCCTGTGACTATATAGCAAAAAACCATACAGGATCAGCAATGCAGACTTCAGGAGAAGCCCTTGGAGAGGCTGGAACGTGGTAGGGTTTGCTGAAGAAGCCTTTTCCCTGCCCTGTGCTCCCACGTCAGTCTAAGCAAACAGCATGGGTAGGTGGCACATGCTCACAATCACACTTGTGGGTGGCTATGATCAAAACGAGGCTGTAGTTGAGCATGGGACACAAGTCATTTTCTGCCCGAATATCTGCCATTATTATACCTTTTAGACACCTGCCAAGGTCACCTGCTTTTAGCAGGAATAGACAATAAAGGCAGAAATGCATAGGGAGAACCTTAGGGTGGGTTTAGGCTCAGTTACAGATTACCCAGAAGTCTCTGTTTCCATTCATATCTGATGTGAAAAAAGATAAGCCCTTGCCTTATGAAAGAGTCCAGTGGCCAGATCACAAAATGTGTCAAGGGAATCGGCTCCACGTCATGTTCTGCTTGTGAAGCTGAAGAATAGCTCAAATGGTAAAATGTTTGCCTTGAAAGCACAAGGATCCTAGTTTGAGCCCCAGTTAAAAAGCTGGTTAATAGTGCTTGTAACCTCAGTGCTCGGGAGGGCGAGACAAGAGGATCCCAGCGGCTTGCTAGCCAGCTAGCATAGTGAGTTTCAGGCTAGTGAGAAATTCTGTTACAAAAACCAAGGTTGATGGCTCCTAAAGAATGATTGATGTCTGACCGTCGCACACATTGAACTGACCCCCAAAGTTCTGCTTCAGACACATGCTCAGAGCCAGACTGAGGCTGGAGCATACTCAGCTGCTTCTCTTGAGTTCCAGTGAACATGCGTGGTTTGGCGTGCTTTGGTTCCAGGGATGGCCTGCAGGTGGCAGGCTTACCTTCTACCACAGAGGCGATGTTCCCGAGGTTCTCGTCGCTCACTGCTGCCAGCTTCTGCATCACTAGGACCTGCCTGGACAGCTTCTCCAAGAGACTTCTTGCCACAAAGGGGGTTTTGCTAGAGAAGACGATTTGCTGACAAGACAAATAAAAGTCCTTTCAATGATGTCGAAGGCAGTGACCTTGCCCTCTGCGCCCTTCCTGAAGAGGGTTTGTAATTCTCATGTCTTCAGGCTATGTCGTTTTCTCCATAAAATTACACACAAAATTGCTTTTCTAGTACAGATCTGCTCCACAACAGAATCGGACTGTCCCCCATGGCCCTGGTAGAGATGAACAGCACCCTTACCACTGCATGCAGATCAACCTTACCCCCTCACGGAAGAGACCTCTTGTAGGTTTCACAAAAAAGCTGTTTACCTCTCAAAGGCTGGCTGGTGGTTTGCCTAGCACATCAGAGTCAGAGAAGATAATTATAGGCCTAAAAGTATCTTACTCAGGTGGCTGTAAGCAGTGAGTAGCTAGAAGAAAACAAAAGTCCTTTCTTTTCTTTGCTTGATACAGGATCTGACTCTGTAGCCCAGGCTGGCCTCAAACGTGTAGCAATCCTCCTATCTCAGCCTCGAAAGTGCTGGGACTGTAGGCATGAGCACCACATCTGGTTCTATTTGCTCATCAGGGAACACTGCCTGTGTGAGGCTGCTAGAGAATGTTCTGGCTATAGCGTAAACACTCAGCAGCTCTGCAAACAGGGCTCAGGTCTGCCCAAAGGCAAGGGTTTTGACAGCCAGCCCATTTCCCACAGCACATGAACACAGCACCTCCATGCCTTAGTTTCCCCATCAGGTGCTTCCTTTCTTTGAGGCAATGTCTTGCTATGTAGCCCAGGCTTGTCTTGAACTCTGGATCCTCCTATGTCTATCTGCCCAGAGCTGGGATTATACGTGTGTTCCACTATGCCCAGAAAGCTTGTTTATTTGTTGGAGAAAATCATGTTCTTCCATATTTGCCATAAATGTGTGACTAATGCTGCCCAGCTCCTGGGAAGCCCAGCCCCTGGTCTTCCCTCTGTCCTCTCCCTGCCTCCTGGTTTTTGGCTGGCATAGGGACACCCTTCCTCTTCTTACTGCAGCCTGTTTGAGAGGCCGATTTCTGTAAAGCTGTGATTACAATTGCTTCTGTGTTCCTTCCTGCTTCACATACACCCAAGCAATCTGGGAACAGATCACAGCAGCAAGAAGACAAGCAGCCGACAAGGAGGAAGCATTTAAATCCAGGCCTCTGGAAAAGTGCCCTGCTTGGGACAGCTGAAAGCTTTCTTGAGGCAAAAGGCCTTCAAAGCAGTTGTTTCCGGACTGTAACACCTCAGGTGGTAAAACAGCTTGCAATGGAAAATGAGAAGGAAGATTTACCCCCATGATGTTCCAGTGTGAGAGCTAAGTGATGAGTGGTAACCTGGAGGAATGCTCCTTCCCATTGCTCATAAAAATTACTAGTCCAAGCCAGCCTGCAACCCCAGAACGTAGAAGCAGGAGGATCAAGAGTTCAAGACTAGCCTCAGCTATACAGTGGGTTCTAGGAACAGCCTGGCTTGCATAAGACCCTGTTTGATATAGAAAGAAACTTTCTCATTCACTATTTGGGGAACCAGGACCTGCTTCTGTACTAGACTGTTCTTAGTGCAACATGTGGTGGGAAGCGAACTAGACAAACCCATCAATATTTAGTTAACACTGTTCTCCAACTCTGCCTATGGATGGCACCTTCGTCTTCCTTTGTTGACTGCCTCTCCTTTACTATCTGATGCTCTGGATGTGAGCACTGACTGGTACTCTGCCTAGTACCTACTATAGTCTGTAGATCTAGCTTTAACTTAAAAGTGAAAACCCAGGCTTAAGAAAAGGTGGATGTGTCCATCCAGTTTTTTACTTGGTTCAGATGAAACCAGCCACATTCTCTTACCTGTGAACTCTCATTTCCTTGGTAAAGCTGAAGTACATACTATGCACACCTTTCTGGCGTGTAAGCGCCCCACCACCCACACATCACACATCCTACCTGAACGAGCTGGGTGCAGTATTGTAGATGTTTGACAATGGTGATATCCAGGCTCTCATTCCCTGTGGTGAGTGGGAGCGGGCTTCCTGCCACACTGGTCCCTACGCCTGTGTCTTCAGTCAGAGCTTCGCTAAGGTGGCCCCTGGCTTCTGGGTGAACTGACCTGTAACTGAAACAGGAAGGTAGGTGAAACGTGATCTGTTTCTTTCTGTGCACAAACCACAGGCCAAGTTTACGTGGTCCCCACTGAAACCAGTCCTTCCCTGGTTTGCTCTCAAAAGCAGAGATACCTTTCTAAAATAACTTATTTCAGCTAGGTTGCCAATTTGCTTAAGTATCGAAAGACCATGCAAACAAAGGCTGCTGTTTGCTTTCTGAGCACAACAAGCTCTTTGTGAAGTAGCTTCCCTGAGAAGTCTTTGAACTATGCCCTCATTCTGCACTGGCTTCGCTTGTCCACCCTGTGGACAGAGATTCTGCCAGCTTCCCTGGGATTCCACAGTCCTGTTAGTTTTCTATGAGTGATCCCATTAAAGAGTGATCACGCAGCCCTTTCCATGGCCTTAGACCAACTGCCACTTTAAGACAAGAGAAGAAAAAAAGCTGCTGAGGCCTGCAGTATTGTGGCAGTTCTGTGAACAGGCAGATGCTGGAAGGGGAGTCTGGCTGTGTAAATCTCTCTCAGCTTTGTCCTGATTCTCCTGTTCTCTTTAAACCCACTGTCATACTGTCTGAAGTTATAGCATCAATGACACTCACATTACAAAGTTTGATATGTTATCTAATTTTCTTTCTCCCCTTCTCTTTCTGAGGCATGGCCCTGAGTTGCCTTGGCTTCCTGATTTCCTGTCACCACCTTCTAAGTGCTGGGATTACAGGTGGATTGCACTATGGCCAGTTTATTCTTTTTCCAATGGACATATATTTTGTTATATCTTACGGTTTCAAGTTTACAAATAAGCCTTATATTTATTTGGGTTATTTGATCATTGTATTATCTGAGTATATAGAATTTTCTTTTAAAAATGAATTTCTATTTTTTCTTTCTTTTTTATTTTTATTTATTTTTAAGACAGAGTTTCTTTACATAGCTCTGGCTGTCCTGGAACTTGCACCATAGACCAGTCTGGCCTTGACCTCACAGAAATCATCACTTTTGAGTGATGGCAGAGTGTGCTTCCACCTCCCAGTGAATTCCTTTCTTTTTGAATATAAATTTTATTATAAGAATCCTTATAAATTAAAACCATTATCCAACAAAATTAACCAGACTTAAAGTCTACATATCTCTATGAAATAGTTAGAATAGGAAGTTTGATGCTGTGACACTTTACACGTGTTTACAATTGGAAACAGCTGCATGCACCTATCCACCACCCATGCTTAAAAATCCATAAGAGAGTTAGGACTACAAACCCCTGGTGCTTTATCTGTTATAGCAGAGAACTGGAAGAAAACTAGTCGTCCATCAGTAGATGAGTGGGTAATAAAAATAGTGTATATACATATTTAATCTCTAAAGAAAGACATAATCACAAAATTTGCAGGAAAATTGATGGACGTAGACAATGAATACATAGTACTAAGCAACTTCACACAGTCTTAAGAAGAAAAAAAAACCTCACATGTTCTTCATATGCCAAACCTAGCCAATAATATATATGTAGATATAAACAAATATACACATGAGACACATATAACATGCAGAAAGAAACGAAGGAAGGCTACATATTAGGAGACGAGGAAGGGGTGAGTGCAGGTGACAGACACAGCTATGAAAGAAGACACAAAGCTAATGGCTTTTCTAGTTCCTGAAAGTAATGTTCTTGAATGCCATTGAAATAATCCATCATGATTAAAGGGATGAAACTACCACACCGTATCTGTCTTTTCAATGTATATTCAGTGTTACATGAAAAATATCATGATGTTGTAGTCATTATAATTTATAATATGTTCTAATATTCAAAAGGGTAGAATACTCTCCATTCAAGAAAAATAGGAAAAACAGAATTTGGGGGAAAAGAAATTTTTTGTTTGTTTTTTGAGACAGGTTCTCTCTGTGTTCCCCTGACTATCCTGGAAAGCATTCTATAGGCTAGGTTGGCTTTGAACTCACTGAGATCTGCTGCTTCTGCCTCCTGAGTGCTGGGATTGAAGGCGTGTGCCACCATTGCCTGGCTGGAACTTATTTTTATACTTTAGAATTATTTGGTATGCCTCTTCTATACATTAGTTCTGCTGAAATAAAAACCATACTTCTTAACATTTTGTGTTTGTGAGAGAGAGGCGCATGTGCTATGGTGTGCATCTGGAGATCAGAGGACAACTCTGTCCAGTGGGATCTCTCCTTCCACATTCGGGTGCCAAGGATCCAACTTAGGCTGCCATACATAGAATGTATAAAAGAAGTGATATTTTACAGCAAAAGCTAACAAGTGTATGGAAAAATCTAAGAAATATTTTGCAAATTCAGTCAAGCCAAAAAAATCTCAATATAGCATGCAGAACTATACATTAAATATTATATTTTCTACATTTCATTTATTTTTATTCTGCTTGCTCAAGGAGTAAATTTTTGTTCTCATGCTTTTGTTTACATGCATGCAGGTACGTGCACACACACACACACACACACATACACACAGTGCGTGCGTGTGCAAATATGTACATATATAACTTAAACTTGGTCTTAATTTGGAAAAGAAACCCTCTCCAGCAACAACAGTAATAGCCAAATCAAAAATACTAGCACTTCACTGGTGGCTCTATAAGGTTGGACAGGCAAGTTTGCTGTAATTTGAAAGCCTACATGTGTCACTTCTGTTGTACCAAAGGTAAAAGGCAGAAGATTCTTTCCTAGAAGGTGGGCACTGGTCATCAGGCTTCTCCTGTTTCACCTGGAATCACAAAGTGGGCCCAGGACCTGGCTCTAAGAACATTGGCTTGGTTGCAGGAGGACATCTTAAGGAGAAGGTGACACATTTCCTACCTGGAGGGACATAGATTAAATGGAGTGCCAAGCCTCCATCTTTACCTTAAAGGGAAACTTAAGCCTGGCTTTGGGATGCACACCAATGGTTCCAGTCTCATGCCAAGATGAGCTGAAATGCAAGAGGAAGGGTGCTGGGAAAACACAGCTCAGCAAACTGAGGACTTTGGAAGTACAGGAAGTACATAGCAGGGACAGGGTGTCCAAGTCCGGTGCCACCTGCAGTATAGACCCTTCATCCACACTACACATGCCTACGTACATGAATCACACTGATGCTGCTAAGAAACAAAAGAGATTTGTGTTTCCTATGCAACCTCTAATCGGTCAGCGATAATTACAAGCTGTACTTAACCATTAAAAGGAACTGCGTATCAAGTTATCCTGCAGGTGTGCCCAACCTTTTGACATTTTTGGCTCAATATCACCCCCTACAAAGTCCAGGCTCAAGAACCATGCAATCTTGATACCAACAAAAACTACAAAGCACGCTGTAGTGTCTTAAGTAAGTTTAGTGTTGGGCAGCACTCATGGCTGTTGTGGGCCACATGTGGTTGGACATGACATCAGGGATTGTGCTATCTTGCACCAGGCTACCCCTGCCAGTAGCAAAGGGGAAACACAAACATATGTTGTCTTCACACTTACCCACTCTTCTCTGTCTCAGTATCTGAAAACACAGAGTCTGCTCCTCCTCCAATGTGGCAGACTTCATCACCATCCTCTTCCTCTTCATCAAAGTCAGAGGTGTTGAGGAAATCAAAGCTTTCTAAAGCGCTCTCTACCGTCAGACTTAGGCTGGAGGACCTGCTGCGGCTGCCAGCCGGCTTGCACTGCAAAGGCAGAAGGTACCAAGGAGACCATCAACACACCAGGGGGACCGGTAGGACTCATGGCGCCGGTGGGAAATGTGACACTCTCTTACAGTTTTCCAAGCCTTTATTTTTGGTTGGCATTTAAAGTCTTCAAAGAAGTACAACCACAGAAACAATGGCACAACATTTGTGAATTGTTCTAACAGAATCCAGAAAGAAGGATAGAAGAAACAGGACTGGAGGTAAGTTGGTCACTGGGTATCATTGAGAGTCACTGGGTATCACTGGGAGTTACCGGGGTTTTTGGCAGATTGGCAGATCTATCTTTGTTTGAAGTTGCATTACTATTAAAACAACTTAAAAAAAAATGACACCCTGAAAGTCTTGGGAAACAGAAGTGACATGTTCCTTTGGTGTAGTGCTCACCACCAAATCAAACAGAATGAGCAAGCCGGGTACCATAGCATGTAGCAGCTCCAGGCACTCAGGAAACTAAGCTGAGAGCTCTGTTTGATCTCATGCATTCAAGACCAGCCTAGGGAATAGAATGAGACTCTTAAAAAAAAATCTTTTTTAAACCAACCCAGCAGACAAATTTTAAAAGCCACCGAGTCACTGCTAACTGTTAATCAGAACCAGTGTCTGCTACCAAGTGACAAAGTACCGTGCCTGGAGCTCACTGTCTAATCTAAAGTATCCTGTAAAGAATTGACAAAAATGAATTCCAGGAAAGGAAACTGCTCAAATACACCTACCCTGGGCTGCCTAGGCGGGGAGCCCTGCATCACCATGTTCCATTCAAGGATGCTTTTCTGAGAACCAAGGGGCAAATGAGTGACTTGGGCATGATGGGACAATAATCCTGATTCCCCTGGAGGTCTGCCTTGAAAGGAACAAGTCCCATCACCCCTCTAAGCAGGCCCTGGAATTATGGGGTCAAGTTCCTTCTACAGCAGGTTGCAGGACATAAACAGAAGCACTGCAGCCTGCTATGCCAGTGGCTTTGGCCTGGAGAAAGAGAGGAGCATATTCACATATTCAAAAGGACGTGAGGTGAGTTGAACAGGACAAGTCTTGCAAAGAAGACACACTACATGTCCTCTGTCCGGCTAGGAGGATCCCCTTGCTGAGTCTTAGCACAAGGTAGGAAGGGCCTTGCAGGGATCTGTCCCAGATACTTGGGGTGGCACAGAAGCTCATGGGGAATTGTCTTTCGGTCTTTTAAATCACGGTTGTCTCATTCACCCTCTGTGATCTCCATCCGGGAAGCAGCATCATTGAGTCTCTGATCCTCAAGATGTTTAGCATCCTAGGAATGTGAAGGAGGAAGAAAAAGAGAGAGCTTTGTCTGGCGGAAGCCACTTGCCCCAGACCTATGCTCCCAATGATGCTGTTGATCATCATCAGGGAGAAAAGGGAGGCTGGTGTTTATTAGGCCTGTCTTTTGAGTCTCCTTTGTTTTCCTTTTAAAAAAATGATATTATTTATTTTATGTATATGAGTGCACTGTGGCTCTCCTCAGACACACCAGAAGAGGGTGTCTGATCCCATTACAGATGGTTGTGAGGCACCATGTGGTTGCTGGGAATTGAACTCAGAACCTCTGGAAGAGTAGTCAGTGCTCTTAACTGATGAGCCATCTTTCCATCCCTTGAGTCTCTTTTCTTAAGCCAGCCATCTGTGTAACAAGATCTTGTACACAACTCAGTGATGGCTTCAAACACTGGTTACAGCAAAAAGACAGGTAGATGAGGATTTCTCTAGGGTGGTATAGCGATAGTACTGGACAAGAGCAGGCTGAGCCAGAAAGGATTTTGAGACCACCAAGGTTTTATAAGATGGATGAATAGTGAGCTCAGAGTATCTTGATGAGCTGAGCTACTAATCAGTACTTTAGACTGGGGGCTGTGGAACCCTTACCCCTCTTAACAAAGATTAAGCCCAACCGCTACCTTTCCTCAAGGGCACCTTCTTTAGAAGGGTCCAGTGTGTGTTTCAGCTCTTTGAGATGAACATCTTTTGATTGACAGCAGGTCAATCATGCAGATGAGATGCACAATGGAATGCCATCCACTTGTCCTCCGTGCTTGGGCTCTATGTGCATATTTTTGGGCGGTGTTCTACAGAGAGCAGATTCTAAGCGCCCTTTCGGGCTTCTCAGAGGTTCTTTCTAGAACGGAACTATAGTGAAGCTGGAGGACCTAGAGTGTCAGAGGTGTCAATCATCATTGGCTCAGACACTAAACCTTGTCTGGAGCTAGGTCAGTATTAGAAAGTCTTAAAGTGTGTCTCCTGATGTCACTGCAAAGGCCACATAAAGCCATCTTACAAGGGGACAAGGGGGCTTCTTATGGTCTGGCTCTCAGCTTGCTGCAGGGAATTTTCAAGCTTATTTGTTCCTTGAGGAATCCTAAGTGACCAAATAGTGAGAGCAGGGAGGTGAAGGTCAGTGGCCTCATCATCTTGTCTCCCCATGCTGTATTTAAGAAGAGTTTCTATCTGTATGTCAGGTATAGACAGGAGCATTCTGATGTAGCCGTGATGACACCATCATTACGACATCTTCCTCCTCGACAGGGTTTCAACTCTCCCCACTGCCTTTACACCTGGACCCTATGTGACTACCAGGGACAGAGGAAACTGGCTTTGTTGGAATTTTTTGGTTCCCTGACTTCTAGTACATGAGCAAAGGTGAATGAATTCTTACTGATTCCTTTGAGGTTTTAGTTTGCTGATTTAGGTTAAATTCATGAGGAACTACCCTCAGCTGGTGGCACTGTAGAGGAAAGGATGGCTTCTCACCTTGGAGCTACCTTCCCCAGTTTTCCTGGTATCCACAGAAAGATCTTAACCAGTAGCATCTTTGAAACCATGATGAACAAACACCAGTATTTCACATTTAGACTTCATATGTGTGTGGAGATAGTGGGGGATATGTGTGTACATGAAGAAATGCATGCACATGGTGCACACGCACGTGCATATGTAGGGCAGAGATAACCCTCTAGTGTTGCTTTTTGAGATTCCATCTTGTTTTGAGTTAGGGCCTTTGTCTGGCATGGAACTCAAGACCAGGCTGGCTGGCTGGCAAAGTACAGGAGTCCATCTGCTTCTGGGATTTCTGGCATTTCAAGCCATGCCTGGGTTTTCCTATGTGGGTTCTGGAGGCTGAACTCAGGTCCTCCTGATTTCATGGTAAACTCTTCCCTATTGGGGCAGGGGTCACATTGATCCAATGTTTTCCTTGAGGCCTTGATGTATGGAGAAGGAATATAGTTCCACGTCTAAAACCAGGAAATACTTGGCCAGGCTAGTAATGGCCTGGCCCCTGGAGGAGTTGGAACTTCAGATCCCGAGAATTCAATGCTTACCTACTAAAGTGCTATGGTTATCAGCTGCTATGTGCTCAGCTTGTGACTCACTTGAGATATCCTGTGTTCCCTTCATGCAACATTGCTTGGTTAGCTTCCTGCTGACTTCGTCTCATTGTATTAGAATTTTCTGCTAACTCTGTCCTATTTTTTCACTGAAAACTGTATATGAGATATTGTACTTCTTAAAACATTTACATAAGACAAGTTACTTAAAACATTTGGCATAAGACATAGCTTGAGTAAGACCTCTTGCCCTCAACTTTACCTACCTTCTTTATCTTCTCATCCCCCAGGTCCTTCCTCTCAGAAACCTGTCACTAAAAGATGACTAAAGGTCCAGATCACTAGGCCACTGAGCCATCTCCCTATGCCTAGATCTTTTTTTTAGAGTTTATAAACCAATTCCTAATCCACTTAGCTAAGCTGATTTCTTGTCAGAAAAATAAAAATTGATAGATATAACTGGAATTAAAAAATTACATCCACTTATGTAGCAGGTACACATTAGTCCTGTCACAGGACAAGATTTGTTATCTTAAATACAATGTTGGCTTAGGATGAATTTTTCCAAACCAAATCAGATTTTTTTTTCAGAAAGGTACTTACTTTGAGAATATCATCCAAGTGTGTGACTTCTTGGTTCAGGTCCTGGAACTCTTTGTACTGCTCCTTGTGTGGATCTAATGCAAGGAAGAGTCCACTGAAGGCATCTTCCAGGCTGCCATCGAGAAAGGATCGGCCAGCCTCAGATTCACTACCAACAGAGCCTTCAAAGAAAAGCTTGTCGGTAGTGATGGGCCCCTCAGCTGAGGTAAGCCTCTTCACTAGTTGCTTTGTGATGTTTCCTTCAAAAGTGTCCAGCTCCACGGGCTTGAGCTCAGAGGCCTCATCTGATTCCTGCAGGAGAGCCTCAGCAACACTATTCTCCAGGAACAGGCTCTCAGTACCAGACCTTGTAGCCACACTGGGCTTCCTAGGCTCTACCATATCACTCTTCGGGTGGGACTTTGGCTCATGGTCCTCACCCAAGGAATTCCTGGAAGATTCTGAGCTGCTGTCCTCAGTGCCCTCATTTTGTGAGGACAGGCTGCTGTGGGTAAGCTCGGCAGGGGTGATGGTAATCTCTGGATGGGCTGAGTGTGAACTGGAGGGAGAGGTGGCTGAGCTGGAGGTGAAGACACAGTCTCCATCCTGCAGATCACTGAAGCTAAGGGACAGTGGCCTTTTCTCCTCTGCTGCCTTTCCACTCTCAAAGATGTCATCTGGCAGATTTGACTGTGGAGAAAGATATGACACAATACATTTGGCATGGTTCATCTCCAGACCAGAGGGGAGGCAATTAAGACGAAAATTCTTTAATGTTAGCAATTTAGTTGATATGTGTGTGTATGCAGGCAAAGAGAAAACAAGCTATTAAAAATGGTTTCCATTGTTGGATCTAGGTGAAAGGTCACAGTGCTATTCTTAGGTTTGACATTTTTCCCATGCACTTTGAGGGTGAGAAGGGATGCTGCTTGTTTTTATGAATTCCAGGATCTCACAGTACTTGGCAGCCATCATTACGGATAGCACTACTCATCTTTTTCCTTATTATTATTTTGTATGTGTGTGTGTGTGTGTGTGCTTGTATGCGCACGCGCATGCATGCGCTCATGTCTTAAAAGACTTTACAATTCCATGTTCTTTTGCTCCAAGGCTGAGCTATTTGTTCTGCTTCAGTTCTCAACAATTATCTTTTGAAAAATATCTACTGACAAAATTTGAACTTTTGAAATCCATTTGTTTTGCTTCTGTAGAAATAAAAGAAAGACACTGATGGGTGGGACATCTGTCTCATAAAAGGCAAGGCCTGGGGGAGGGGGAGGGAAGGAAGGGAAGGGGGTGGTATCTTAGAATCTCTGGAAATATAGTTCTCTGTCAAGCAAGTCCTGCCTCAGGTTGCCTTTGTGCTTCAAGAAGCTCTGAAGAGAGACAGTCAGGCAGCTGAGCTGGGATGATAGCTCAATGAGTAGACAGTCTGCCCAGCATGTGTGCACCCTGGGTTTGACGCTCACACAGGAAGAGATTTCCAGATAATTAAGACAACCAACTGGCTTGCTGTCAGGAGCAGAGCAATTTCAAAGTGAGCACCCTTGCACTCTCTTTCCTCAGGCTGGTATGTCCAGACTTTAGACACCATGGTATGTCATTGTCATCTACAAACTTTACAAAATTCATGTCAAGAACTCTACAGCTGAGTCTTTAAAATTGTAAAAATGGAAAAATCTGATGCTGTCTTATCTAAATTTATAGTTTTGTGTTGTGTTGTGTTGATAAGTGTGTTGCCTGGAGACAAGACTTTCTAGGTATTTGAAATTAGCCTCTTAGAAATTGTTCTTTTCTTTCTTCCTATATTCCAGGTTGAAATTTTAAGTTTTATTTTATTGTATTTTGTTTGTGTATGCATGGATGAGGATGAACGTGGGTGTGGAGGTCAGAGGACAACCCTGGGTACTGGTCTCCATCTTCTACTTTGTTTGAGATACGGTCTCTACATGGAAGAGTAGCTGCTGTGTGAGCTTCTCATAATTTTCCTGTCTTGGCCCCTCCATCTCACTACAGAAACACTGGGATTACAAACATGTGCACCACCATAACCAGCTTTCTGTGAGTTCTGGATATCCAAACTCAGTCCCTCACGCTTGCATGATAAGTGCTCTGTGTGTGCGTGCGCATGCTAACCTATCCATGTGGAGGTTAAGAGACACCAATGATTGACCTAAGGTTGTCAGGCTTGTGCTGGAAGCACTTTTACCTACTGAGCCATCTCACTGGTCCTCCATGTTGGGCTTTTGAAGAACAGCTATTCCTCGGTATCTATCGATTCTAAACATTGCAGAGTCAACCAACCACAGATGGGAAATACTTGACACATATACAGATTTTTTTCCTTGCCGTTATCCACTATTTCTCCATCAGTTACACTGTATTCAGACTCATACATTAGCTCATAAGGAGATGATTTGAAGTCCAGGGGACGTGGGGTGTACAGAGGGTTTATTTGATCATTGTGCCATTTGATGTAAGGGGCTTAAGCCTCTGGGGATTTGGGTATCTGGTTGGGTCCTGGCATCAATTTCCTGTAGACACTCAAGGATATGTGGTATGTGCTAAGCTAATGTCTGTTTTGATTTTATATAAACATCAAGAGTTTTCAGAAGCATGGTAGAAATGACCGCAGTGAACAATTACAGTGAGTGAACGGAAAGGAGCTGAAGGACAGAGGCTGCCTTCCTCTGAGCTCTGGGAGGCAGTGGGCTCCTGGGCACTTTCTCCTCCTCTCTGGTCTGAGTTCCTCCCTCAACTTTCACATTCTGTTATACCCTTACACCCCTAGTAAAGAAAAAAGGGAAAGTTTGGGGAACAGATGGTCGAAGGATCAGAGTTCTAACTGCTGGGCCGTCTCTGAAAACCCCTTAGGCCCTTTACTGAAGGCTGCACAGACCCTGAAGCAGGATCTGTGCAGCCTCACCTGAACTTCTGTGCACATGCTTCTTGGCTGTATCAGGGGTGGAGCTGCTGGCTGCAGCAGAGGGCTGGGTGGCCAGGGTCAATTTGCACTTACTTAAGTGGCAAATGCTGAGCTGTGCTAAGCTCAGATGCCCTGCTCACAGGTACCTATGGTTTATGAGAAATACACACCTACCAACAGGTACCCCATAAGAAGGAAGTCAAAGTGGACTAGTATGGCCTTAGGGCCCTAAAAGTAGCAGGGAGATTTGCATACAGCCAAACTTTCCAACAGAGCTGTGTATGCATATCTACCTGGCTACTTGATGACCTTGCAAACTACCCACACTGTTCAGCAGAAAATTCCCTACCCTGTGTAACTGCAAAACAATTCTACTTGCTTCCCAAGATTGCTTACCTCCCTTCTCTCTAAACAGTTCAGCTTTTATAACATCAGAGAGACGTAACCCCCCTGAAGCTTAAACCACGAACAGTCACAGTCTCACCTTGCACCTTGCACATTGGTCTTCAGGTATCATAGTCTTCATGGACATAGGCATAGAATTCCTTCTTAGCCCTTGACAAGAGTGATTTTTACCTTGGTTTATAAAAGATGTATTTGGAAGTATGTCATGAGATCAAGGTCCTAGCAAGTAAAAAGACGGTTCTAAACCCAGCCATAGAGATTGGTGTGACAGAGGACAGGAGGAAGAGACATATGAATTCTGAAAAGAGCATGGGACATTCGCAGAGCCGTGGAACATACAGAAAGGATGGAGTGGAAGCGGAAAAAAGGGTGCAATGGGCTTTGAGCAGATGGGAACGGCTACCCTGAGGACCTTTGTGTTTTACCAAACACTATAGGAAGTAATCCAGTATTTTCTAATATTGCTTAAATTATGATGTTCAACTTCTATGGATCCTCCCATGATGGCTGATCTTCATTGTCATCTTGAGAAAATCAGAATCACCGTGGAAACATATGCCTATGAGGGCTTTGGCCGAGAGATTTAATTGAGGTGAGAAGACCCACCCTGAACGTGGGTGGCAGCTTTCCACAGGACAGGGCCTCAGACTGAATAAAAGGAGCACATGAGTTGAGTGCCAGCACTCATCTGTTTCTTGAGTGCTAACACACGGTGATCAGCTGTGTCATATGCCTGCCACCATGCCTTCCCCAATGTGGGCTCCTTAAATTGTGAGCCCAAATAAACTCTGCCTTAAGTTGATGCTTGTCAGGTACTTCTTCACAAGTGGCAAGTAACGTTAGCATTCCTGTTGCCCTCCAAGGGATACCACATGAGTACAGATAGCCATCAAATCCACAAATGGTCACTTGTACAAGTGCATCAGACTATTGGGTTTTTGCATTATTTTTATTTTTTACACATTTTCCCATACATCTTTCCTATTTTTCCTCAGAAACTTCCATGAGTATTTACATTGTCCTTTTAACCTTCGTTTTTAGCTCAATGAATGACATACAATTATTGCTGTTATTATTGTATTAGCCAGAAGTCCTTTACTCTCCTCAGGATAATTAAAGGTGACATTTATTCTTCAGACGAAGAGCAGAGGATTTCTCATATGTATATGTACTTGTCTGTGTATTCTCTTAAATATAATATGTAACTCATAGGAATAGGTTGCCTAGTACATTCCTAAGAATTCCAGGGTTTGTTTGTTTGTTTATTTGTTTGTTTTCCTAGAGCAGGGCAGAATGAACAGAAAGAAGCAGCCATGGTGGAGTTGGCTCAAGCCCTACTGAGTCCCTGAATGCAGGCTTCTAGAAGTCCGATGTTAGTGGTAAACTGAAAACAACTTTCCGTTTCTTTTTCTTTGTTCCCATAAGAACTCAGCCCCTGGAGCTCAATGTGTAGTGGAGGATGACCTTGAACTTCCAGCCCCCTTGCCTCTCCTTTCTGAGTGCTAGTGTTAGAGGTGTATCAGCACATCTGGTTCAGGTGGTGCTGAGTTTAGAATCCAGGCCTTAAGCACCCTACCAACTGAGCTACATCCCCAGCCCCAACACAATTGTTTAAAAACAATTGTTTGTTGTTAAGAGTGAAAATCTTGTTACCACAGAGGAAAAAAAAATATCACAGCATAAAATCAGGAATTGTTGGAAACGGAGGGCGACAAAGTTGCATGCAAGACCTTGCTTCCCACCCCAAAGACAGGACAGTTATTACCCAGCAAGCAAGACAGGCAAGACACAAAGAATCATGCTGGGCTGCATGCACAGGCTCCCTGAAGTCAAGCACCTCACTCCAGGCTGCCCACACTCACATAGAATTCTAGCAGGGCCTTGGGGTTCAGGCTGAGGGAAGGCAGGTCACCGACAGAGTGGTTGTGGTGCAACGTGGCAAAGAAAGTGTCTCGCAAGGCACTCAAGACAGACAGCCGCAACCATCTCTTCAGAAGTCAGGGCGAGAAGGGCAAGTTAGTGGAAAGAAGCAGGTTAATGGGTTTCCCTTGGTAGTTAGCAGGGCTCGATGAAGTCAAGGAGGCATCATTCAAATACACTTGAAAAGATTCATGTCGAAGAATGGTTGGAAACCTACATGCCTTTTCCCACCTTTCCAAAAGTAAAGTCGAGTGAGGGAGAGACAGGCAGAGGAAGCCAGCCCTGTTCTCAGAGGGCCCAAGTGTCTCAGAACACGGCAACTTTAGTCAGCACACAATTAGGGTGAATTAGAAATCAATTCTTATGAGTGTGGCATGCATGTATGTGCAGATATATATTCATGTGTATATGCATAGGTGAAGGATCCGTCAGCCCTTTTTCAATAATTTTCCCATCTTATTCACTGAGGCAGGTCCTCTCAATCAAGCCCAGAGCTCTATGTCTCACAAGGTAGCCCGCTCTAGAAAGTCCCAGCTCAGCCGTTCCACGCTGGAGTCACAGGTGGGCCAGCACCACACACCCACCCCAGCATTTACAAGTGTTTTGTTGATCCAAATTCCAGCCCTCATGCTTGCCTAGCAAGCACTTTAACTGCAAAGCCCTCTCCCCTGCTCTTGAAAGTCTTTGATGTGGGTGACACACATGTCAAAGTCTATCGGAACACCCCAGCTTTATCATTTCTATGCCAGAAATCACACTGAACTTACAAAGAAGGACTGGTCTTTGAAGGTAGGTGTTTCTGGGGTGCCCTGGCTGTACATGGACATCCTCCGCTGGAGTGCAGCTGTCTTGTTCCCAGAGCCTGCTGATGGGGTTGTGTCCTCCACGTCAAAGGGACTGTAGAACAATAGGTTCTTAGGTCAGCACATTTATTAAAATCACTTGTTATCCCAGGATGGGGGAAGATGGCTTCTCATTATGACAGTATCAACTTAGTCCGGTGGGAATGGGGCTGGTTTGGACCAGCCTAGGTTGTCCGAAAATAAATAAAGAAAAAAGAAGGTGCAGGCAGAAGACTGACTCTAGACCCACTGTAGGGCCAGATCAAAGAAGCCTCGGGTGTGTCTGTTTCCCCACGAGTATTAGAGACACCAGTGGATTAGCTGCTCACGTGTAACCGGATATTGGGAGAACCTGTAAACATTCCTCAGAGCTTCGTCTGGATGGACTCTAGGCAGGTAAGTGACTAGCACACTGTCATTCAGTGCTAAGGAAACCACAATCGAAATGGTTTCAGATGCACTGGTTGCTGGTCACTGATATCCCGTCACCCATCAGGGACATGTTCATAAACAATCACAGATTGTGAACACAGAAAAGCCAGGCACGGGGTGCTGTTTGTGACAGTACAGCAGCATCTTGGCTGTTGCCACAGCTGACTTTGATTTGTAATGGAGTCTTCCAACACAAATAGCAACATGGCGTACTTATTCACAAGCCAAGGGCTGTGATCTTTTTCATCAGGTGGCTTTTAAAAAGAACATTTTTTTTATTCCATTAAAGAATCTTATGTGTTTGTATGTGTGTGTTCGTGGGGGGGGGAAGTGGGTACGGTGTGCATGTAAAGGTCAGATGGCAACCACAGGTCTCAGTCCTCCTCGTGAATCTTGTCTGAGACGATGTTTCTTGTTGGCTGCTGTGTATAGCGGGCTAGCTGGCTCCTGAGCTTCCTGTGATTCTCTTGTCTTACTGTAGGAGTTCTGGGATTATAGACATATGCTACTGAGTCTGGCTTTACATGGGTTGTAGAGATCTAAATTCAGTTCCTCACACTTGCCTGGCAAGTGGTATCACAATGCTATCGCCCCCAGTCCTTGAGGCAGGTCTCCTATGGCTCAGGCTGGCCCAACATTTGCTATGAAACTGAGGTTACCCTTAAACTTCAGGCCCACCTGCTTCCACCTCCCACATGCTGGGGTTACAGACATGCACCCCCACATCAGGTTATAATAAAACATGTAAAAGTAGGCAATAGAAAAGGAGAGTTAGGTGGACATGCTACCTGGTGAGCTTTAAAGATTCTTATTCAGCAGTTTGGATGTGACCACTGCTGCATGCTGATACCGTGGTTCGAGCATCAGTCCAGAACAACATTAGCCATCAGCCCTTGCCTTTCCATGATGAACTTGAAAAAAGGAACTTACTACCAGGTGATTTCCAGGTTCAGTTTGATGGTACCAAGGTCATTGATGTCAACAGCCACCACCTGGGGTCGGGCTGCAAACAGCTCTTTGGTCTCACAGGTCACACTGCCTACTAGGATGTGAGTCGCCAGTCCTTTGAGTTCTGTGACCTGGCAGAGAAGGTGAGGGAGAAATGGAGCAATGTCTTATCTTCATTTTTTCTTAGTCAGTTGAGTCCTTATTTTAGAACTACATCTGACGGGTATTTAAGAAAATGTTACTTTGTTACAGTTGCGTTGTCTCTGGGCTTTTAGAGCATCTCAACTAAAAGAGGCTTTGCACAGAGAGAAGCCTATGGGATGGAGGGTCTCCACCAAGGAATCATCGGGCCATAACATCAGGAAGGAAGAAAAGACAACAAAAGGCACGGACACACTGTACCTTGATTGAAATGAACCCAACTATGAGGGGCAGGAAGACGGTTTCTTCTCCATCCCAGCTCTGTTTGCCGTTCACTTCTATTTTGCCCTTGAGTTTCCACCTCTGCCGGCCATACTTCATGAAAATCTGGGGTGAAGACATTAGGGAGCCTCATGTTTCACCAAACTCCACCTTCCCTCCAAATTGCCCAGATCCAAGGGTCAGGAAACAGGCCCATACCCTTCATTCCCTTTCCCACCCAGTCTCGGTTCTCAGTGGAGCCCATGAGGAGTGTAGAGGAGATTTGACTTAATTAATTTATTTACTTGAAACAGAGCCTCACTATGTAGCCCTGGTTACCCTGGAACTCACTAAGTAAATCTGGCTGGCCTCCAACTCACAGCCCTCTACCTGCCTCTGACTCTTGAGTGCTAATATAAAAGCTACATTGTAGCACATCTGGACTAGCTAAGGGGTGTATTCTGGTTCTTTAGCTGAGGGTGTGGACTTTTCTTTAGTAAGAGGTTAGCGCAGGGGCAGGAGAGTTGGCTCAGTGGCTAAGAGCACTTGTGGCTCTTGTAGAGGACTGAGATTTGGTTTCCAGAACCCACACCATGGCTTATAGCTACTTTAATTCCAGTTCAAGGGGATCCAACATCCTCTTCTGTCTTCTTCAGGCAACACACACACACACACACACACACACACACACACACACACACGGTGTACAGACAGACATGGAGGCAAGCACTCACATATGAAATAAAAATAAATCTACATGGGTATTTTAAAGTTGGTCATAGCTCTGTGTCAGTCTGTCCACTCATATAATACTTGTCTGTCTTTGTTTGTTTTACTCTACATGAATCCATCAGCCATTGGAACTGTAGCTCTGCTGACCCCAACTCCTTTAGAGAGACAAGAACCATCTTCAATCCTACTTGTAGCCAACAGAGAAAGAAAGAGACCTCTTCCTGGTGATGTTGGTAAGGGTTGGGACCTTCCATATTCTGGGCAGAGGAGGGCAGTTGGTGTGAATGCCCTCAGAGCCTTGGCAAGGAGATGAAATTATTACATGCATGCTCTTTTGAAGAAGGTAGAGACAAATGGCCTTTTGATTTTTAAGCAAGTTTTGGTTGTTTTGTTTCTGAGACAGGGTCTTACTTTGTGGCTCAGGATGTCTCAAATAACAATCCCTTCAGGTATGAGCTACCAGGCAGTTTATAACTACATTTTTTTTAAAATAAAGAAAACTCTATAATCAGGTGTTGGTCATGTTCAACCTTTAGGTATGAGCAGATGACACTGTCATACAGAAAGTTCACATTTGAGAACTGTGCAATTGAGTGACCCAAAATTTTCACATACACAGAAAATATCTCTTGATTATGTGTAAAGTTTATGATTTTGTGTCAGGCCACATTTATATTCTTGGCTGCATGCAGTCCCCAGGCCATGTGTTGGGCATGCCTGGGAGGTTTTATTTATTTTCAGTTATAAGACTTTGACTCAGTCATGACCCTAGATTAGATCTTGGATCAGAAAGTAAAGCTGTTACAATGTACAGTTGGGGGCACTTGGGAGAACACAAGAGTATTCTATCTCATAGCATTTGTTGAAGAATGTTTGGTTGGAGTCCACTGCTTGCTCTTGCACAAGCTGGGAAACCCCATTGTCTGCCCTCCTTCTCCTAACCCAGTCTACACTGAGAAAACACTGAACAAAGGAGTGTCGTCGAAAGCCTAGTTCTGTATTTTTGGCAGTCGATGTGACCCACATTTTGACGTTCAAGTGCTGGTCCAGGGGCTTAGAGTTTGAAGACACTTGGGCACAGTCCCTGTTCCTGGCTGACATGTCATCACTCCTTGCCTAAGATCTATAAAACCTCTTGCCTTAGCCCAGATGTGACTTCCTCAGCCCTATTGTTTGGGACCAACAGACCTACCAAGGAGCAGCACCTGATACAGCTGCCTTTATCTGCTTTGAATCAGCTCTGATCTGACCTTATTTGTGTCCCTAAGAGAGAGAAAATACCCAAATAAAGAGGCATTATTAAAATTTGTAGGTGTTAAGAATTGTCTGGGGCTTATGTGAAAGATTGTGCTTTCAGTGTTGGGAGAGGAACTTAGGGATGAAGGGCCATGATTGGTAGGGAGCGACGTAGCAAAAGGATGGTAATGGTGGTGTATAAGAAACCGCCATGTTCCACTCGTGGGAGTCAGTTCTCAGATTACCCTCCAAACTTTCTCACTGGCTCAAAATGTTAAAAGACAAATGAAACAAAAATACTAACAACTGGACTCAGGCCTGGTGGTACATGCCTGACAACCAAACTGAGGCAGGCGGATTTCGAGTTCAAGGTTAGTCTGAACAACTTTAAGAACTGCTGTTTTAAAAAGTAGAAAGTAGGGGCAGAGAAACGGCTCAGCCATTAAGAGCATGTACTATTCTTGTGGAGGACAGGAATTCAGTTCCCAGGTCTACACGAAGTTTAGCTTACAACTGCCTAAAATTCAAGTTTTGGTCTCTGTAGGCACCTGCATTCCTGTGCACACACCCACACAGACACATATAGGCACACCCTACACACACACACACACACACACACACACACACACACACACACTTTTTAAAGTAAAACATTAGCTGAAGATGTAGCTCAATGGTAGAGCACTTGCTTAGCATGTACAAGTTCTTTGGTTAATAGTACCAAGGCAGCAGCAGCAGCAGCAGCAGCAGCAACCACCACCACCACCACCAAAACTATAGTCGGCTCCTGCCCTTCAAGCCTTCAATGCCAACATGCAGACCAACATGCTACTTACCTCATACTGATCTCCAGGACAGAGGCGGGCAAATCCAGCCAGACCTGTAAACAAGAGATTGGGCTATGAGTTGCAGAACACATTTCTTTTCTTTGGGGGCCCAATTTGTTAAAAACTCAAGTAATATGTTAAAGTAGAGAAAACACAGGTAACAGGTTGAGGAGCTTCTTCAGAGAATAGCCTTTGCAGGGATGTAGAGGGATTCTATACAGTACAGCTAGCAGGACACATCCTGATAGGGTGGTGAGAGGACATTTCCAGGACCAGGAGGCTGTTGGGTGTTTAGAACTCTGTGTACCTTTGGCAGATTTCAGGATCAGGGCAGCAGGACCAGAAAGACCCATTCTTTCCCGACCAAAATATTCTCACGAAAATAAACTGGCCTCTTGCTTTTCCTTGTGTCCTAAGATCTGTGACACTAAATACCTCCCTTGTGAGTCCCTGTCCCCATGCCTATTGCTTGTCTGCAGGATACTCATTCCTCTGTTTTTCTCATTTTTTAATACAGCACAGTGATGCCACTATTGATGCTTATGAACTTGCTAGAAATAGACTGTCATGTATCCCAAACTGGTGATTAAGAAAACAAACCAAGGGGCTGGAGAGATGGCTCAGCGGTTGTGAACACTGACTACTCTTCCAGAGTATGTGGGTTCAATTCCCAGCACCCATGTGGCAGTTCATAACTGTCTGCAACCCTCACAGAGACATACATGAGGGCAGAACTCAAATCCACATAAAAATAAAGATAAATAAAGAAAAGAAAACAACCCAAATCCAATCAACCAACTGACAATAGCCTGTTCCTTCAAAAGAAGAGGTGTGTCTTAGGGTTGCTATTGCTGTGATGAGACTCCATGACCAAAGCCACTTGGGGAGGAAAGGTTTTATTTAGCTGAAGCTTCATTGTCACTGTTCATCACTGAAGGAAGTCAGGACAGGAACTCAAACAGGGCAGGAACCTGGAGTCAGGAGCTGATACAGAGGTCATGGGATGCAGGGATTATGGAGGGTTGCTGCTTATTGGCTTTCTTAGCCTGCTTTCTTATAGCACCGAGGACCCCCTGTTCAGGAATGGCACCACCCACAATGGGCTGCCTCCCCATCAATCACAAATTAAGAAAATGGTCTATGGCTGGATCTTATGGGGTCATTTTCTCAAATGAGGTGCCCACTTCTAGGATGACTGTGGCCTGTGTTGATTGACAGATCCAGTTAGCACAAGGCTTTCCTTCCCCTGTGTTGTCTGCAAGTCACTTTAGAGTGGATGGCTCCACTTGAGGCCTACTGCTTCAGCAGTAACACCTTGTCAGACTACGTGGCCACCACCCTGGGACAGCTCCAGAGTCCCAGCTTTTGTCACCCTTTCCCTCTTCCTATAGATATTTACTGAAAGCCCACTTTGTGAGGGTGAAAATAGTAATTTACATTTTTAATCTTCTCATGAAAAAATTTATGACAAAATTGCAGTGAAAATTTAGCACAGATTTTTTTTTTATTCATGCCTTTGAGTCCTGGGGCGTGTTTCTCTTGTGTTTGTACATGCTTGTGCATGTATGCACGTGCACATGTGTGCCTATGCTTGTGGAGGCCAGAGTTTGATACTGATACTGATATTGTCCCCCTCAATTGCTTCAAACACCTTATGTTTTGAGATAGGCTCTCTTGGGGGTTCCCGTTTGATTAGGTTGGCTGGCCAGAAAGCATAAGGACTCAATTCCCCCTGCAAAGACAAGTTGGGATTATAATCACATGACACTATGCCCAGCTTTTTCTGTGGGTTCTGCAGATCCAAACCCATATCCTTTTGCTTGCTTTATGCTGTCTTCCCTGACCTGGGTTGTGTTTCTAGCAAACAAGATTTTACTCATGTAGACATACTAAAAATGATATCACACTGTATGTTTTTCCTTCAATGAATAGCTCAATTAATAGATGGTGAGAATCTCGAATGGACAAATCTGCTTCCCATTGGCCCATGGTCACAGTTAAGAATAAGATGAATCCAGGGAAGCTTCAAAATGGACTCGCCTTTTACCATCATTCATCACTAGATGGCAGCAGTTCACCAACTTGGCATGCCTTTTAGCTAGCGAGCCCAGCTCTCTAGGACCAGCTCTCACTAACAATTAGAAGCTAATGAGCCACTTAGGAAGGCCCGCTGTAATAAAAGCAGGATTGGAGGAAGCTATTTTCATGAATAGTTCTGGAGCACTTAGGCTTTTTTTCCCCCGCCCCCACAAAAATACATTTGAAAGAAAGCATTACTGGCTGGCTTTTATGATGTGCTAATTCGAATAAAACCCGATTTACCCTTTGAAAGCCTACAAATTATCAGCTCCCGGTTAATCCACTGCCTGTTTATGTATGAGGTGACAATAGAGATCCTGCTTCAGGGAAGCTGACCATGTACCATGATGGATAAGCTGAAAAGGGGGATGGGGGGGTTCTTTGACAATCTCCCTTCTCAAAATCACAAGAAATTTTATATCATGGGAGAGGGAGGGCTGTGGTCGTGATGAATTTTGGGTCTCTCTGCCCATGGAATGAAAGCACTTTATTGGCATCCCTTATAAGGCATCTCCCAGCCTCTGGTGACAATGATAATGGCAGAAGGGCAGCAGGCAGGAGGAACCAGTTCCAGGCAGTACTTTTCAAAGCTCCCCAGGCTATGGTATTCATAGTCCAGGCTGTGGCACGAGCACTTATGCTGGAGCACAGGCAGTGATAAGCCAGACTTTGGGGCCTGGCTGGGTTCTTCCAATTCTGGCCTGAGGTCCTGCTGGCATTTCTACAGCAGCAGAAAGCTCAGTGTTTTCTCAGCTGCTTGGTGTAACTGTTGTATCAGCTAGGACGTTTTCATTATGGGCACTCAGAAACACCCCTGGGTTCCCTCACGTGGGGCTTCCACCTTTTTGATCTAACAGCTCTTCCACAGCCTGAATGGAGGACAGGGTGTTGCCCTCAGTGTGCTGTGAATAAATGATGTCCCCCAGCTTATGTTTGAACATTTGGTCACCAGCTGGATAGCTCTATTTTTAAAGGTTATAGAATCTTCAAGAGTTAGGGCCTAGCTGGAGGGAATCAGATACTGGAGAGTGGTTCTTGAGGTTGAGGCCCTGCCCTGCTCTCAGCCTCTATCAGGCTTCCTGATCCACCCTAACCCCCACCTCAGTTGCAAACTCCTCCAACTACCAAAGCTCTCCTTCCCATAGTAGACAAAATCCCTCCAAACCTTAAGCCACAATGAATCCTTTTCCTCTTAAGTTGCTTCTTTTAGAGAATTTATCACAGTGGAGGAAAGTTGCTGACACAGCCACACAACTACATACAGACACACAGCTGCTCACCTGGCTCCTTGTGCCTCTTTGCTCAGACACAGTTCTGGTCAGAGAAGTACTCCATTGTTTCCCAGTTCTGCCATGACCTTCCTAAGAGTGCACCTCAGACTGTAAGGCAAGTTGCCAAGTACCAGAGAGCTGGGTGTCTTAATACTGGTCTTCCTGTTTCATGGACAGGTTTCCTAGTTCGCCAGAGGCTGGCCTTGCCCTAAAGGCCATGGTGCCGAGCTAGAACTAACCTCCGGACAGGTGTTCTCCTGGAACTCATTTGAATGAGGTGATCATTGGGAAGAAAAGCAGTTTTCTGTAAGATACTGCAATTCTTAGCTTCTTTCCTGGTTTGGGGGTCCTGAATCCAGCTGGGCACATTTCAGAATCTGGCCTAAACAGCTCCCCACTGCACTCAAAACACTTTCTCTGACAGCTTTGGGCAGCAGCCCTGCCTTCAGGAAGGACTTTTGATTTAGTTGTTCTAGTCATAGGTTAGTTTAGGAAGCTCTCTCCACTCCTCCAACCCTCTTCTCAGTGGGAACTTTCTCTTAAAGTTTTAAAATTTTATTTTCTTCTGTCTGTCTGTCTGTCTGTCTGTCTGTCTGTCTGTTCCTCCTTCCCTCCTCTTTTCCTTCCC